CTCATTTGAACTGGAAGTCATTGTCAACCCATTCCTGCTTGCTGAGCAACATAGCTGCTCCCTTAGGGTGAGTTTCTAAGAATTGATCAACTCAAGAATAATAATATACCTTTCCTTTTCAAACTCATGCACTTAATTTACTGTAATAAACCTTGATTATTACTTTATTACCTGTTTAATGTCACCTTGTTCCTGTTTTGAATTGCTTTATTCACTTTCCTGATTGCTTTTACATTGAATTTGAATCATTACATCTATTAGATCTCAAATCAAGTGTTTGCCTTGCCATACTGCTGTCTCTTATACACATCTNTGTTTACCGCAAAGTTGGACCATATTGTAAAATTCGGTTCGTGGACGGAATACTGCAGTCACCCCTGAGGGATTTTCCTCTGGAGGGTGGTTGCATAGCTTATCCTGTGAATGATATTTGGTGCCCTAGGAATTATCCTGTAACACTGGCTCTTGGTTTTGTTCTTAGCTTAAGTATAGTGTTGTATGGGAATGACCTGTGTTTCATTGTCCCAAATTAGTTCTCAGGGTTGGAGGTAGGCTTAGCTAGGTATTGTAGCTTAGGGTGATTGAGCTAATCTTCACATAGCTTTTGTGAACCCCTGTTGACCGGACCGCAACAACGGTATGTGAAGTTTCATGATGATCGGATAATAACTGTAGGAGTTATAGGCTACCTCGGTTTTAGGTAACCAGTCCCCTTAATCTTGAGTAAATGAAGAAATTAAAAATGATCTGATTTGAAAAATCTCTGGTTTGTCACTATGTCCATACTCCGCAGTACCCAGAGTGCAGAGGGTGGATGCAGTGTTGCCAATATATGGGTTTTTAAGCCCTAAGCGTTGCCGGGTAATTTTAAGATGCGTCGCCGGACGCCGGGTAATTTTTAATGAAAAGCCATTTACACTGAGTAATGAAAAACTATTTACAAGCCACGAACTTATTTACAAGGTTGCATGCACGTGTTATCCCAAATAACTAATTTTACCCTAAAAACAGTCCGATTGTACAGCAAGTGTCAACTGAACATGTGATAATGCAGTCTGACCGCTCTAATGTGACCGCAACTACGTAATCGTAAGCTTGATGTGTACATTTTTTTGGCGGGAACTGATTGCAACTGATTTCCGGACAAGCTTCACTGCATCCTGATCCATCCAACATATCGGAAACCTTACTTTTTTTAAATAGTTGGCCAGAGACTGACAAATATATCAAATGCTAGAATTTCAATCTAAATGTGTCGGCAAGATCTTCTGAAGGCGTAAATTTTGCTACTGAAGCGTCGCCAAAGATCTTGCAATATTCATCTACTCTCTGCACAGTGGCGCAGTACCCAGTCTGTAAAGAAGGGTCTTTCAGCTCGAGATATCGGCGTCTTTTGAACACCTTTATCAGCCACCTTGACCTTACATCGGCGTCCCGGTCCAATGGGAACTGAACATTTTCTATCAACGTAAAGTTGAAATTGTTGTCTTCATCTACAAGACCTTACTTTGCATAAAATGTTTGCCTGGAGAGGCTGGAATTACAAGCTGAATTATTTCTATTTACTTCATCTCTGATAGGACACTAAAAGGCTTGCAAGTTGCAACTAAATATCAAAGGCTAACCGATACCGACGCGTTGGGAGTACCCCACGTGGTTATCGATACCACGCTGTATTATTTGAGTAAAGGTTATCTCAACATAGCTGTACAACGGATAATGATTCAGTGATTTCGAAATAAGATATTTGATATTCCAGATTTCATAATGTGCCTTGAAATTTGTTGTAATAGGAACCAATAGGCCTGTATAGCATGTTTAAATCGATAACTGTGAAACACCAGTTGTTAAGCGGCTCTAGTGTATTATTTTGAAACGAATGATTTCCCGATTACAAAAGATTTAAAAGATAAGATGAATGAACCTCTTATAATAGGAAAATGTTATCATCTTACTCCTGTCTTCTTTCCATCGGTGACAACGGTCAGCATAGGTCGAGAAGTCAAACAATTCAAGGGAAGCACAGTAAAAATGTTAAATCTTTGATGTATCAGACAGACTTGCAGCTGGTCTCCAAAATCATACACGTATACAGTGACCATCAAAAATCTCCAAAACTAATGAATGTAGCTTAAAGAAACTTCACATATGTATTATTTGGGACCTAATGATGATGTTTAGCCTGTGTAAATTGGTTCCCTTGTACATGACTTACCGTATACGGTCATACGCCGAATCCAATACATGAACATTGTAATACATAAATAAACACTCACTGAGCATTATCTTCTCAGTGCAGTTAAATTTCTTGTTGTGTTCGTGATCCACACCTCTCCCCAATAACTTGAATAATTTCTTATTTATTTTGTTTTCGGTATCAAATGTACGTAGTCAATACTACTCATTTATTTCTCATGTTATTATTAACAAAGATGCAGTATTCATAAACGTCTTTACCAGCTCATATGATACGTAAGTTTAATTATTTAGAGTGGCGGTCCACGTTAATGTTGCATTCACAGCAACATTACACAGCATTCACAGCAGTCTTAGATTTGCCTGCTGTCACTAACCGAGCGCAAAATACATTCGTCATTGTTTGTTTACTCGGTGTCAGCGATTTTAGCAATAATATGTGGGGCCTGGCCCAGTCAATTTTGTACAGCCCATTATTGCTTCATTATGGTAACTCATTAGTTGCCAGTGTAGCTACGCATTTTCCCACATTTTGTTATCAAGGTTATTGCGTAAATAATTCATGCACCAATCCTGAGATGAGATACTGGTACATATATTTGGAAGTTTATCTGAATCTGTAGTTTGGAAGAAATCTGTAGTTTGGAAGAAATTCTTTGATCACTGCAAATTTTGGCCCGTATTGCCATATAACTACCAAAAGAAGGTGAAATCTAAGAGCAAAACTAGCGAAACATCACCGTTAGGTGTAAATAAATACATGTTCCAAGTTTATCAAGCTGTGTTCATTAGTTTGGGAGATATTCCTTGGTCACTGAACTTGCAGATTAGCTGTGAGACAAGTTGGCCGTAAATTTGTCCAAGCCATCTTGAATTCCTAGTCTTGAAACAGTTAAAACTGTAAAAAAAATATATTGGTTATCTAAACAGGTTCTATTTGTGAAATACACATTTGTGTTTAACCTTTCCCTCTTAAAATTGCAGCATACTAATATCAAGAAAGTGGTGTTTGTTTTTAGACGTGTCTGTTGGGGGGAGGGGGGGGCAAACATATAAACTGGTATTCACTGGGGAGCCAAAGAGGGCACCAGCCCTCTAAAAAGTAACTTTATATTTTTTACAGGATTCAGTTGTAAATTATACTTGGGAAGAATTTATCTATTGTTTTAATTGAATAATGCAACTGACTCAATCCATAAAAATTTGGTGCAACTAAACAGTGAAAATGTTCATGAAGATGGGTATTCATTATTAGATTTATAAAAGCGATAACTTAATCAAAGTTTCAATTTGACTTAACCTAAATCTAGATTTGCCAGATTGTACCTGAGTATTAAATTCACCATTGCCTTGCTCATAGATGAAATAAATTTTTTTCTCCAACAGATTGATGGTTTGATTAGGACTTGGTCTTTCTAAGAAGTGGCAAGGCAGAAGCAGAATGGCTTTGCCCCCGTACCTCATCCCAGGGTCACCGTGGGCCTTCATGGCTCAGCAGCAGGTGGCTGCCCAGCACCAGCACCCGGCCGTCCATCTCGCTGCCGCCCAGCAGCAGGTATTGTCATGCCTGCTTCTTAGAAAAATGAAAGAAAATGTGAAATTCTTAGAAAATGGCCAAAAAAGAGGGGTTCTGTATAAAGCTATCATAGAAGTTTATGTACACATTGCTTTACTGCTTTGGTATTTACGAATGAATTGCAATAGGAGAATAAATTACTTTGAGATCATATTGATAAGTTCCATGGATGGTATAAAAGATTAGTAGTGCACTTTAATTGATACATTTTATTGGTGTTCAGCTGTGTATGCAATGTTGTACTTAAGCTGTGTCCTCACTCTTACTTCACTTGAGTACATTAAAGTCACGAGCTGTGTACTCACTCTTACTTCACTTGAGTACATTAAAGTCACGAGCTGTGTACTCACTCTTACTTCACTTGAGTACATTAAAGTCACGAGCTGTGTACTCACTCTTACTTCACTTGAGTACATTAAAGTCACGAGCTGTGTACTCACTCTTACTTCACTTGAGTACATTAAAGTCACGAGCTGTGTACTCACTCTTACTTCACTTGAGTACATTAAAGTCACGAGCTGTGTACTCACTCTTACTTCACTTGAGTACATTAAAGTCACGAGCTGTGTACTCACTCTTACTTCACTTGAGTACATTAAAGTCACGAGCTGTGTACTCACTCTTACTNGGAGTGTTGGTAGTGCAGTGGAAGTGCTGGAGTGTTGGTAGTGCAGTGGAAGTGCTGGAGTGTTGGTAGGGCTTAAAATAGAGGAGTATTACAAGCGTTTTGATTTATAAGATTTTGTGTCTTGGTAGCGTTTCGAAGAATAGGAGCGTTTGCTTCATTTTGTTAGTATCAAAGTGTCTTTAGGAATTTATTTTCACCAATTCACATACATTTTATAAGAAACGTTGAATATTTTGCAATATTTCAATAATTTCGTTATATTTAGTAAGTAATATTTCAAGTGAATAGTATGTTCGAGCTGCCTCCTTCATTAATGCTGTTGATAACAGAATAGCTTCTGATGCTTCATGGTAGACTCTTGGCTCGTGTTCTAGCATTCTTTTGACGTTCTTTGAGGATTTATTTGTATATGTATGTGGGAACTATTTAAGTTGAATTGTATTATTCCAGTTTTGCTCTTTCAGGAATTTCCCATATAATTGGTAGCTGTAGCTTATCGTTGTGTCCCTAAACGTTGTCTCCTAAAGTAACTGATAGCAAACTGTTAAAGTAACTGATATTAAACTGATAAAATAACTGATAATAAAGTAACTGATATTAATGTTGTCTTCTAAAGTAACAGACATTAAATGTACGTCTGACCCGGACACTTGCGCCCACAGATGGCAGCAGCTACACAACAAGAAGTATGCAGAGAAGCGCAAGTTTGGCTTCGTTGACGTGCAGAAGGAAGAGATGCCGCCTGAACACATCCGTAAGATCATCAGAGACCACGGAGACATGAGCTCTCGCAAGTACAGGCATGACAAGCGCGTCTACCTCGGCGCCCTCAAGTTCATGCCACACGCCGTGCTCAAGCTCATCGAGAACATGCCCATGCCCTGGGAGCAGATCAGAGATGTGCAGGTGCTTACATATTCCCTTAAACTCTGTGATCTCTGTCATGACAGCTTCTGATTACCTTCACGAGAACATGTCTGTGTCGTGGGAGCAGATCAGAGACGTGCAGGTGCTTTATTATTTATGTTAAGTACCCTGGGAGCAGATCAGAGACGTGCAGGTGCTTAGATATTCCCTTGAACTCTTTAATCTCCGTCATGACAGCTTCTAATTAACTGCTTAAGAACATGCATTTATCATGAACTGTCCACATGATATATGCATAATAACGTAACGGTTATAATGTAATTTTAATAACTCCATTCATAGTGGTAGAGTTGATCAGGTTCATTGTTGCCAGCATCTCTGCTTGCCTGACTGTCCATCTCAGCCGAGCACCAGGGGCAAGGCAGGATGAGATATTTCTATTGCAAATACAAAATATTTACCAGCATACGTCAGCTCGTACAAAATATGATCCACCTATTGCATTCTTACTTGATTATGAAGAGATTCTTGATATTTGATTAAAAATTATAAAATTATACAAACATTACAAATGTTAAATTCAATTTTTTTCTAATAGGAATAATTTTGTTGCTGCTGGATGAATGAATTGAAATTATAATGTGGACTAAAGTCCATTATTGACAACTGCAGATTTTAAAAATTGTTCGTGTATTACTTTAACTCTCATCAATGCTATTGGCGTTTCTAAACCGAACAATACCGAAATTTTCTCGGAATTTGATAGGTACCTTTTGATATCAAAATTAATGAAATTTATATTATTTGTCCACTTGGACTGAGTGACAGAAAAATTACTTAAACTTTTTCGATTTAATTTTAATTCCAGTATTATAAAATATACGCATATGGATGGGCGCATTCTGATGAACGATTCATGACGAGATGCCAGCTAAACTGCCGTGCCTTGATAATTCTCTTCCCTTGATCTATTGTAAAGTGCTTGTCTGATGCCATCATTTGTTGCAGTGCCTGTACCACATCACGGGCGCCATTACCTTCGTGAACGAGATCCCGTGGGTGATAGAGCCCGTGTACATCGCGCAGTGGTCCACCATGTGGATGATGATGCGCAGGGAGAAGCGCGACCGTCGTCACTTCAAGCGCATGCGCTTCCCGCCCTTTGATGACGAGGAGCCGCCCCTGGACTTCGCTGACAACGTCCTCGACGTCGAGCCTCTTGAGGCCATTCAGATCGAGCTTGACCCTGACGAAGATGCGGCGGTGAGCAATTTGAAGCATTTCCTTTGGCATTTGTCTTAATTTCGCTTGTGAAAATTCTGCGTTACCATGTATGCCTGCAGGGCTTATCTGTATCCCATCAAGATACTCTATTGTAGAGTGAGCCCTGGCTTACAACGCTCTTTCCTGGTTGAGCAAATGTTCAGTTATTTACTATAGATTTTTCAACATTGAAGAGGATTTATTTCCAAATTGCGGTATTCTCTCATTGCATTCAGTAATGGTTTTGCCGTACATGCCAATTTACGCAATAATTGTTTGGTCGTTATTTCATCGCAGCTGATTCCGTCAGGTCCAATTTTGCAGTAAAGGCAATCCAGGGTTTCATTCTTAGTTCTGGCCCCACACTATGTATGAAACTCGTGGTTGAATATATCATGAAAATCAACATAACCTATTCATAACAACAAAACAATCAACAACAAAAAATTTCAATCTGCCACAGTCTGCCACACATTTCCTTCTGGTAGGTCGGCTTTTGTTCTATGATATGATTTTTTTCTATGTTTCCTGGCATTTGTTTAGTCTTCTCTGGTCAAATAACAATTACGGGTACACTCAGAAAACGAATTGATACTTGAGGAAGATTTCTTGTTGTGTTCTAAGATGTTGCTGGACATGGCGACTAATGCTGCGACGCAGCATTATACCTCAATTTAACCATTCATTATATCTAAGTCGTGTTGACTTATGCTGCGATGCAGCTCTGTACCTCTACTTACCAATACATTATATCTAAGTCGTGTTGACTTGTGCTGCGATGCAGCTCTGTACCTCTACTTACCAATACATTATATCTAAGTTGTGTTGACTTGTGCTGCGATGCAGCTCTGTACCTCTACTTACCAATACATTATATCTAAGTCGTGTTGACTTATGCTGCGATGCAGCTCTGTACCTCTACTTACCAATACATTATATCTAAGTCGTGTTGACTTATGCTGCGATGCAGCTCTATACCTCTACTTACCAATACATTATATCTAAGTTGTGTTGACTTGTGCTGCGATGCAGCTCTGTACCTCTACTTACCAATACATTTTACAATACATTACCTATATCTAAGTCAGTTAGGAGTTGCGTAGGTATAGAGTTATACTGCAGTAGTACTGCTTTAGCTCAGTAATATGAGGGCGGTAGTATGTAGCAGTTCTTTATTTCATCCTGAAATGATTTCTCACAGTGCACCTACATTTTAATATAATGGAACACAAGAATAAGAATTCAACGTCGTTTTCAGAATTCGTTTTCGAATTTTGAATTCAACGTCGAATGAATTCAACGTCGTTTTGAATTCATTCAATTGTTTAACTCGCTGGATAAAACCGAGTTATGTTGCTAGGTGCTCATGTTCATTCTTTCTCATCACTTTTATTGTGAAATTCTCCCGCGTTCCCAATAACTCACCCATCATAGCGCACACTAGGTTAAGAAAGGAGCTAGCTTAGACGTGGTCACATTCCAGTTGTGAGACATGTTAAGGGGAGCGTCTTGGTCCAAAATCGACAATTTAGGCTTTTCCTGTTTATATTCTCATCTTAAAGCTGACATTCTGACCTATCCAACGGTACCAAAACCATCTCTGTACGTTGATTTATGCGTTCATGACAGATCCCGAAAGGGAGGGGGGTGGGGAAGTTCTTTCACATTAAAGATGGGGAATAATTCCCGCAGTGCACTATAAATCACTTGTCTACAGACACTCAGCTCCAGTAACCTTGCTGCAGTCGTACGGGGTGATTATTGCGCCGTCGCTCGTACCATCCTTGACAGAAATAGAGCTCCAGTATCGTCTAGTCTCATTCCTTGCAGTGTTGAATGCCGATTTCGAGGCGCCCGGGACTTTGTCGGGCTCTACTGAACATTCACACTTATTGTCACTGGAAACCTATTTCCTCCTACAGTTTCGAAGCTACAGCGATGAAACATATACCATTCGATTCGCAAAGAAAAGATCTACAAATTGTTGTAGGCGTTTTTCTAATTTCGTTATAGTTTGTATTTTATTTTGCAAAAAGAGGGGGTGGAATGGGGTAAAATCGAAAAATTTCCGAAAAATTTACAAAAAATGCTCCCACACCCACAAAATTGGAAATTTCAAAAAACGCCTACATCAATTTGTAGATATGGTCTTTACGCATTGAATGATACGTGTTTCGATGTTGTAGCTTGAAAATCCTAGGCCCGCTGATATTTCTACAGTACCCCCTTTTTTGTCCGTTTTCTATGAATTTCTAGTTTTCTTTCATTTTTTTTCGAAAAATTCACATGAACAAAAAAGTCTTAGAATTGCGTTTTACATACTTGTATGAAATTTCGAAGTGATTCGTCCGTAAATAAAAAAGTTTTTTTTCGGACCAAGACGCTCCCCTTAACTAATTTGTGCCAAGAGATGAATTGATTGTTTTTTGACCAGAATCCATACTTTCAATACTTTCAAAACTCGCTAAGTGAACTTTAGTACTTACACACTATTTTCTTGTCTATGATTGGTGGATTTTGCTTAAAAGGCCGTCAATGATTGGCAGATGAGCTTACGATCTCTTAAATTTTTTTGAAAGTGTAGGCTCAGGTACACAACTGGTTCTATGTAAATAATTCATTCAAAGAGATGAATGATTGTCTTGTGGCCAGGTACACGACTGGTTCTACGACCACAAGCCCCTGCTGGACACGCCCCACGTGAACGGCAGCACCTACCGGCGCTGGCGGCTGTCACTGCCGCAGATGGCTACACTCTACCGCCTTGCCAGCCAGCTGCTCACAGATGTTGCTGACAACAATTACTTCTACCTCTTTGATCTCAAGTCATTCTTCACTGCTAAGGTAAGATATATAGTACAGTGTTTCTGCTCATCTAATCTTTCTCGTGAACGATTAGCATCTCTAAAGACAAAAATGTTTTTTGAAGTGGTAAAATTTAGGCACAGAAAAATGCTCTTCGACTAAAATTGGCCTTCTTTATTTTAATTAAAAATGAAGTAGAAATATTGAGCCTTGTTGCCATAATTGTGTTTGAGGTTTCATTACATTATTTGAATCGTCCGACCAATCAATATCTTTCAGTTATCTGTTAGTGTGAAGTAAAACAAACATTCACTAGACTGTCATCCTTGTTCTGGCATAAATCGTTGCCGGTCCAAGTGAAGTCATGGATGAACTTAATACAGTTTCAGGGAAGTGATTTGCCCCATTTTGGGGCCGTAAGGAGCCATTTTGTGGGAAAGCTGGTGGCCAGAATTTAAGAACGCTTGTAGCCGGAGTTTGAAGAAGCTGATGGCCAAGAATGTTCCAGCTGTGCACTCACATTATCTCTCTCGGCTTGTGAGAAGCTGGCTACTGTTGTAATTATTAGTAGCGAGCTTGTGTGTTAAAACTTAGAACTTTAGGCCCATGCAAGTATTTCTCACATATCTAATTCTTTGCCGAAATACCAATTATATCTGATACTAAATTCCGCAGGCGCTGAACATGGCTCTACCAGGAGGTCCCAAGTTCGAGCCTCTGATCAAGGACATGAACCCAGCTGATGAAGACTGGAATGAGTTCAACGACATCAACAAGATCATCGTGCGGCACCAAATACGCACAGAGTACCGCATTGCGTTCCCATATCTGTACAACAACATGCCTCAGTACGTGCATCTAGCCTGGTACCACACACCCACGGCGCTCTACATCAAGACCGAGGACCCTGACCTGCCCGCTTACTACTTTGACCCTCTCATCAACCCCATCTCTCATCGCAACACAGTCAAGGCTGAGCATCTGCTGCCTGATGATGACGAGGTCTCATCTCTTTTGCATTACTAGCGCCATTTTATTTATAATTTTCATAATTAAGGTTAGCTCCTTGGTCTTGTTCAGTGGCTTACTTCACAAAGTTACTGACTTCGTGCTAGCTGATATTGTAATACTGTAATTCTTTAGGTATGTTTATCAGTTTCGTGATGAGTAAAAAGGTGTTGCATATAATCTTTTGACGCTGATTTAGATGTAGAACTATTGTATGTTAATGAAGTCCATTCCGTAGTCATTCACGAATGCTAACTAGTCATCTAAATGCGAGATCAGAGGTTTGCTATTGTGCGAGCACTTTAAGCTAGGCCGGCAAGTCAGGCTATTAAAGAACATATCCTTCTTTGTAGTAAGCTCACTCGTGTTAGCTCACTATTGCAGTATATTACTAGACACTTATTTTGGCTGTTGCTGCATCCACCGTGACTTGCATTAAGGCTTGTAGTCAGAGTGGGGCAAAGTCTGAGAGCGAGATATTCGCGACCACGATGTAAAACCCTGGTTCTGACCTCAGGTCGGCATGTCGCTACGCTCGAGTTGGTAGTCCTAGTTGCATGACATCTGAGCCAGCACGAAATTTGGGGCTACGGGCGGCTTTAGATGACCGAGGAATGGCCAGCGGTTGGCTAGAAAAGAACGCCGCATGATTTCTTTGCTCTTCGTTTAGAGTCCAAACTGCATGGGCCTTCGAGTTTGACAGCTCAGTAATATGCGACTTTTGCTTCCCCTCGTTCTTGCCACAACGCCTGTTACTATACGGAATTTTTACTCCACAAATGAGCATGCTCGTTCACAACTAGTAGTTTTTGGCAAGTGATATCTACAACAAGGAGGTTAATCAATAAATGCTAAGTAAACATTTTAGTGCAGAATAAAAATTATAACCCGTTGACATCTCGAAAAAAGTGTAGAAGTCGCACATTTTGTGAAAATTAATATTCAAAGTTTCTTGAAATTCTCTTCATCATAACTTTTTCAATGCAAAGTTAACATATTCTTCGTTACTGTCCATAGATTAAAAATTAATAGGTGGAAGAGCATGAAAAATTTAAGAATATCTTCTAATTTACGAGTGGACTAAAGTTGAGCTTAACTTGTGGAGAACTCCGTAGTATGTCGCCAAGCCTGTCCTAAGCCTGGTAGTTCTCAACACCCCCCTTGTGTAATGGCTTTTTTTTAGATGGGACCAATTTTATCTTTTAATTTGACGACAAGCTTTCCAACGTTCGAGATATGGAACCTTAATGCGAGGCCTGCTGCTCCAATCCTCATAAATCTCACAGTTCCTGTTACGCTTGATAAGCGTTATGTTGGCTGACTGCAATTAATATCCTTTGGACTGTTGAATTTCTTGTAAATAATTATAATAGGCAATAATTAAGCTATCGTCAGCCGACGTGTTGAGACATGTTGGAAGTTAACAGCAAGTACTTGAATTAGTTCAATCTTAGAACTTGCGCCACACTATAACGACAGTTTTGCTACCTTTGTTTACTACATTATTGGTAGCCAATGCTATTCGTATATAAAAACGTGGAATGCGAGTTGCTGTCAGTAGTTAGACAGAATCCTTTATTTGTGTTGTTGAATTGCCCGGTTGTGTTCATTCGTATATAAAAATCTGGCTATGAGAGTTACTGTCAGTAGTTAGACAGAATCCTTTATTTGTGTTGATGAATTGCCCGGTTATGTGCAGGAGTTTGAGCTGGCGGAGGAGGTGGCGCCGCTGCTGGCGGACTGGCAGCTGTACACGGACGCGACGGCTAACGGCATGGCGCTGCTGTGGGCGCCGCGGCCCTTCAACCTGCGCAGCGCCGCCTGCAGGCGAGCCATCGACGTGCCCCTCGTCAAGACCTGGTACCGGGAGCACTGCCCGCCCGGCCAGCCTGTCAAGGTGTTGAGCATTACTGTGTAGTCTTGACAAGTCTTGCCCGCCCGGCCAACCTGTCAAGGTGTTGAGCATTATCTTGTAGTCTTGACAAACATTGGCAAGGTTCGTTTTATTGGTGGTAATTATTGTCAAAGTTCGTTTTTTCTTCATGGGAAATCATTGTCAAGGTTTACTTGGAGGACGAACTCGCGCGTGGCAGACTACATTTTCATGGTGTATTTCTTACACTGAAAGACAGCGCTACATTAGGCGATTAGGCACCGTACGCTGGTCCTATTGGAGAAGAAATCTACTCAACAACGCAGTTTTCATCTTAGTGTGTCAAATAAACCATGAGATAAACAATGTCCAGTAGCAGAAAACGTAGAATTATTCTGAACAGTATTATTAATTAAATGCTATTCATTGACGTTATCCTGGGCATCCATAATGAAAATGAATAACTGTGATGACAGTTGCATAAAAGTTTGATGTACATTCATGCTAATGAGGCGCTCTTTTTCATTGCAGGTGCGAGTGTCGTACCAGAAGCTGCTCAAATACAATGTGCTGAACGCTCTCAAGCACAGACCGCCCAAGGCTCAGAAGAAACGCTACATTTTCCGGTCGTTCAAGGCTACCAAATTCTTCCAGACGACCACTCTGGATTGGGTTGAGGCTGGTCTGCAAGTGTGCAGGCAAGGCTATAACATGCTTAACCTGCTCATCCATCGCAAGAATCTAAACTACCTCCATCTCGACTACAACTTCAACCTGAAACCCGTGAAAACTCTCACCACGAAAGAGCGTAAAAAGTCACGTTTCGGTAATGCGTTCCATTTGTGCCGAGAAATTCTTCGTCTCACGAAACTCGTGGTGGACGCGCATGTGCAGTACAGGCTCAACAACGTCGATGCCTTCCAACTGGCGGACGGTCTGCAGTACATCTTTGCCCACGTGGGCCAGCTCACGGGTATGTACAGGTACAAATACAAGCTCATGAAGCAGATCAGGATGGCCAAAGACCTGAAGCACGTTATCTACTACCGCTTCAACACTGGTCAAGTCGGCAAAGGTCCAGGTTGTGGTTTCTGGGCACCTGGATGGCGAGTCTGGATCTTTTTCCAGCGAGGCATCACTCCTCTTCTGGAACGTTGGCTGGGCAATCTGCTCTCGAGGCAGTTCGAGGGACGACACAGCAAAGGCGTGGCTAAAACAGTCACTAAGCAGAGAGTCGAATCACACTTTGATCTCGAGTTGCGAGCCTCGGTGATGCACGACATCCTCGACATGATGCCTGAAGGTATCAAACAGAATAAGGCACGGACCATCCTGCAGCATCTCAGTGAAGCCTGGCGCTGCTGGAAAGCCAATATCCCATGGAAAGTCCCTGGCCTTCCAACACCCATCGAGAACATGATCCTGCGCTACGTCAAGATGAAGGCCGACTGGTGGACCAACACCGCTCACTATAACCGCGAGAGGATCAGGCGAGGTGCTACCGTTGACAAGACTGTGTGTAAGAAAAACATGGGTCGCCTCACGCGCCTCTACCTCAAAGCTGAGCAGGAGCGTCAGCACAACTACCAGAAAGATGGACCGTACATCAGTCCTGAGGAAGCTGTTGCTATCTACACTACCACAGTTCATTGGCTGGAGTCGCGACGATTTGCTCCTATACCCTTCCCTCCTCTGAGCTACAAACACGATACCAAACTCCTCGTGCTTGCTCTCGAGCGCCTTCGGGAGGCTTACAGTGTCAAGTCGCGACTCAATCAGTCGCAGCGAGAAGAGCTCGGTCTCATTGAACAGGCCTACGACAACCCTCACGAAGCTCTTTCGCGCATCAAGCGTCATTTACTCACGCAGCGAGCCTTCAAAGAGGTGGGGATTGAGTTCATGGACTTGTACAGTCACTTGATCCCAGTCTACGACGTAGAGCCGCTCGAGAAAATTACTGATGCTTACCTGGATCAGTACCTCTGGTATGAAGCTGACAAGCGTCGGCTCTTCCCGCCGTGGGTCAAACCTGGTGACAACGAACCGCCTCCGCTGTTGGTGTATCAGTGGTGCCAGGGAATCAACAACCTCACGGATGTGTGGGACACTGCTGAAGGCGAATGTAATGTCATGCTCGAATCGAGGTTTGAAAAACTCTACGAAAAGATCGATTTGACTCTGCTCAACAGACTTCTGCGACTTATTGTTGACCACAACATCGCCGATTACATGACTGCCAAGAACAACGTGGACATCAACTACAAGGACATGAACCACACAAATCGTTACGGAATCATCCGTGGTTTGCAGTTTGCCTCGTTCATCGTGCAGTATTATGGACTCGTGAACGATCTCCTTGTGATGGGCTTGAGACGCGCCGCTGACATGGCTGGCCCCCCACAAATGCCTAACGATTTCCTCAACTACCAAGATGTCGCCACCGAGACTCAGCATCCAATCAGGCTCTTCTCACGCTACATCGACAAGATTCACATCTTCTTCCGCTTCACGGCTGAGGAAGCTAAGGATCTCATCCAGCGCTACCTGACAGAGCATCCTGACCCAAATAACGAAAACATCGTCGGCTACAACAACAAGAAGTGCTGGCCGAGAGACTCGCGGATGCGGCTCATGAAGCATGACGTGAACTTGGGACGTGCAGTCTTCTGGGACATCAAGAACAGACTTCCACGCTCGGTCACCACAATCAACTGGGAAAATTCCTTTGTTTCTGTCTATTCCAAAGACAATCCTAATTTGCTCTTCAATATGGCGGGCTTTGAATGCCGTATCTTGCCTAAATTGAGGACCATCAACGAAGAGTTCAATCACAGAGATGGAGTGTGGAATCTGCAGAATGAAGTTACCAAAGAGAGAACGGCTCAGTGCTTCTTGCGCGTTGATGACGAGTCCATGCAGCGCTTCCACAACCGCGTCCGTCAGATCCTCATGGCTTCAGGCTCCACGACGTTCACCAAGATCGTCAACAAGTGGAACACGGCCCTCATTGGACTCATGACATACTATCGCGAATCAGTTGTCAACACTCCAGAGCTACTGGATTTGCTCGTCAAATGTGAGAATAAAATTCAGACCCGTATTAAAATCGGCCTCAACTCTAAGATGCCTTCGCGTTTCCCGCCCGTTGTGTTCTATACACCAAAAGAATTAGGCGGTCTTGGCATGTTGTCAATGGGCCACGTGCTCATACCTCAGTCAGATCTGCGCTGGAGCAAACAGACGGACGCTGGCATCACCCACTTCAGGTCAGGCATGAGTCACGATGAAGATCAGCTCATCCCTAACTTGTACCGCTACATCCAGCCATGGGAGACCGAGTTCCTCGACAGCCAGCGCGTGTGGGCAGAGTATGCCCTCAAGAGGCAAGAAGCCACCGCACAAAACAGACGTCTCACCCTCGAAGATCTGGAAGACTCGTGGGACCGCGGTATTCCGCGCATCAACACACTCTTCCAGAAAGATCGTCACACGCTCACGTACGACAAAGGCTGGAGGATCAGGACTGAGTTCAAACAGTACCAAGTGCTGAAACAGAATCCCTTTTGGTGGACTCACCAGCGCCACGACGGAAAATTGTGGAACCTCAACAACTATCGGACAGATATGATCCAGGCGTTGGGTGGCGTCGAAGGCATCCTCGAGCACACTCTCTTCAAGGGAACCTACTTCCCCACGTGGGAGGGTCTTTTCTGGGAGAAGGCATCTGGCTTCGAGGAGAGCATGAAGTACAAGAAACTCACCAATGCTCAGCGGTCTGGTTTGAACCAAATCCCTAACCGACGTTTCACCCTCTGGTGGTCGCCCACAATCAACCGAGCCAATGTCTACGTCGGTTTCCAGGTACAGCTCGATCTCACTGGGATTTTCATGCACGGAAAAATTCCAACGTTGAAAATTTCACTCATTCAGATCTTCCGTGCTCACTTGTGGCAGAAAGTTCACGAGAGCGTCGTCATGGATCTCTGTCAAGTCTTCGATCAGGAGCTCGACGCCCTCGAAATCGAAACTGTGCAAAAGGAGACGATCCATCCTCGTAAGTCGTACAAGATGAACTCATCGTGCGCTGACATCTTGCTGTTTGCCGCATACAAGTGGAATTACAGCAAGCCTTCCCTGCTAGCTGACTCCAAGGACTCCATGGATGGGTCTACAACGCTCAAATACTGGATTGATGTTCAACTCCGCTGGGGCGACTACGACTCGCATGATGTGGAGCGCTACGCCCGCGCCAAGTTCCTCGACTACACCACAGACAACATGTCGCTCTACCCGTCGCCTACTGGCGTGCTCATCGCTATTGACTTGGCATATAATCTGCACAGTGCCTATGGAAACTGGTTCCCGGGAGCCAAGCCCCTCATCCAACAAGCAATGGCCAAGATCATGAAGGCCAATCCTGCTCTCTACGTACTTCGAGAGCGTATCCGCAAAGGCTTGCAGTTGTATTCCTCTGAGCCAACCGAGCCTTATCTCTCGTCTCAGAACTACGGTGAGCTTTTCTCCAACCAAATTATCTGGTTTGTAGACGACACTAATGTCTACCGAGTCACCATCCACAAAACCTTTGAAGGTAACCTCACAACAAAACCCATCAATGGAGCCATCTTCATCTTCAATCCTCGAACTGGACAGCTCTTTTTGAAGGTCATCCACACCTCTGTGTGGGCAGGCCAGAAGCGTCTCGGTCAGCTGGCCAAGTGGAAAACTGCAGAAGAAGTTGCGGCTCTCATTCGTTCACTGCCCGTCGAAGAGCAGCCTAAACAGATCATCGTCACCAGGAAGGGAATGTTGGATCCCCTTGAGGTCCATTTGCTTGACTTCCCCAACATCGTCATCAAGGGATCGGAACTCCAGTTGCCCTTCCAAGCTTGCCTAAAAGTTGAAAAATTCGGTGATCTTATCTTGAAGGCGACAGAACCCCAGATGGTGCTGTTCAATCTTTACGACGACTGGCTCAAGAATATCTCGTCGTACACGGCGTTCTCTCGCCTCATCCTCATCCTGCGCGCCTTGCATGTCAACAACGATCGCACAAAAGTTCTGCTCAAGCCCGACAAGACGACCGTCACCGAACTGCACCACATCTGGCCTTCGCTCTCGGATGAAGAATGGGTGAATGTTGAGCTGCAGCTCAAAGACCTCATCCTCGTGGATTACGGCAAGAAGAACAACGTCAACGTCGCTTCCCTCACCCAGTCTGAGATCCGTGACATCATCCTTGGTATGGAGATCAGTGCACCATCACAACAGAGGCAACAGATCGCCGAAATCGAGAAGCAGACAAAGGAGCAAAGTCAGATGACGGCCACTACGACGCGCACCACCAACAAACACGGTGACGAAATTATAGCTTCCACCACAAGCAATTACGAGAGCGCTACTTTCAGCAGCAAGACCGAGTGGCGCGTCCGTGCCATTTCTGCTACGAACTTGCATTTGAGAACCAACTACATCTACGTCTCTTCGGATGACATCAAAGAGACTGGGTACACCTACATCTTGCCCAAGAATATCCTCAAGAAGTTCATCATCATCTCTGACTTGCGCACGCAGATTGCCGGGTATCTGTATGGAGTGAGTCCTGCAGACAACCCGCAAGTCAAGGAAATCCGCTGCATAGTTATGCCGCCTCAGTGGGGCACGCATCAGATGGTCCACCTGCCTCATAAACTCCCGCAACACGAGTTTACATCAGAACTGGAACCTCTGGGTTGGATCCATACTCAGCCTAACGAGCTGCCGCAGTTGTCACCTCACGACATCACCACACACGCTACTATCATGGCGGATAACAGTGCCTGGACCACTGACCGCACCATCGTCATCACCTGCTCCTTCACGCCTGGATCCTGCTCTCTGCAGGCCTACAAACTCACTCCTTCAGGCTTTGAGTGGGGGCGCAACAACAAGGACATGGGCAACAACCCCAAGGGATACCTGCCGTCTCACTACGAGAAAGTACAAATGCTTTTGTCAGACCGTTTCTTGGGACTCTTCATGAATCCCTTGCAGGGATCTTGGAACTACAACTTCATGGGCGTCCGCCATGACCCAAACATGAAATATGACCTACAGCTTTCAAGTCCCAAGGAGTTCTATCATGAGATCCATCGGCCCGCTCACTTCCTGAACTTCTCAGCTCTTGACGAGGCGGACACCATCACTGGCGCTGACCGGGACAACGCTCTCGAATAGGCGCCGCCTTGCCTCGTTTGAGCGGACGGAGAATCAATACTACAGCAATCAAGCATTGTAGTTAAGCTTCTTTTTTGATGAAGTGGCTTCAGAATAAATGAACTTCAGGCTGATTTCAAGGACGATCGTTCTCTATAAATCGGATTGTTGTACACTCGCTTGTTCAAAGAGTTTCTGTTGACAACATGATTCTAAATTTAATTTTTTTTTCTCTCAATTTTCTTTTTCCTCTGCGATTCCCCCGTGTCACTTCACCGTATCTGTTCGCGTCAAATCATCAACTGCTACAATAGAAGCTCACTACTGTTGTTATGAAAAATATTTTTCACCTTGAGGATATTCTGATGTCGCGTCAAGAGATATTTGCAAAAACACACGATGTTCATTGGAGCTCGTGAAATTCCTTCATCTTTATTTCCTATCATCAGCATAGCGATTTTGAAATAGCCGTTTTCCCTCATTTTTTTGTGGTTCTCAGCTGACAGCCTGGTCGTTTGATTATCGTGTGCTATTCCTGCCCGAGTCGACCTTTTATAACTCGTCTCATGTAAACATTGAACATTGCTCGGCTGGTTGCAACATAGCACATTGCTAGTGAACCATTAAATTTCTAAGACAAGCAACCGTCCCTGTGGACGACGTTCTTTGATATGTAACGTTTTTGAGCCTTGAGTGTATTGAGGCACTATTATGTATTACATTCATCTTATGGCGCTGCACGAACAAACAAACCTTCGTTGTCTGCAAGCATTCGTCAAATGCTGAGTTAGTTTTATAATTTTAAGATAATATTTAAGCCTCTTCAATTCCCCGGAAGATTAATTATGAATGTTTTTCTATTCACTTATATTAATTTGAAACATAATTTACGTAACACCTTGAAACTCTGCCGAAAGTTTTATTCTCTTCATCTTGATTTTCGCTTTATTTCGCTGAACAAACTCAGTTGTGAGAATTGATCCCTTCAGCCATTGCTGGTGTGCGCTGTTGTGGGAAGCAAGCAAGCGAGGCAGGAGGCAGAGCATCTGCGTGGAGCTTGTGTCGCTCCTGGGGAGCCGAGTTTCGGCGTCACGCAGTTAATGCGTATTTCGTCATAATTTAAACTTTCTTTACCGATGTTCGTGCGACGTGAATATTTTTTGCATTTGGTCCAGCGATTCCTTTACTTTATACTTTAGTATCTACTTATACTTGTGGATCAGTGTAATCTCTGAAATAAATTGAGAGCGCGCTGTATGTATTATTTACCACGGCTTTTTATAGCGCAGCAGTTCAACTTTATAATTTATTAATATTCCAAGAAAGAGGCGCAGTTACATGCATGCTCGATAGGCAACAAATGAGGCTCTGTGCTTCCATTGTGTCGCGTCATAAGACTAAGTTCTCAATTAGATCGCATTGATAATATAAGAGACCGAGACGTTATTGGCACGAGGGAAACTTGCTATGAGATTGAAGAGACCAGATTAACCAGACTATGATCGGCGACCATCTACAGACAATGTTAAAAAGTGAAAAGGTGTTCTTTGATAGAGCTCACCAGTGTAAAAAATGCCTAGATGTTCATGGCGACTAAACTGAGGGAAAGATTAGGGGTTCACGTATGTGGGAAATATGAAGTTGTGCGTGCGAACTATATTTAGAATGACGCCAGTTTAGATGGTGGTGGGTAGATCTTGTACCCATTGTTGGAAAAAAATATTGATTCTTTAAAGAATACACAGCAACGTGATTCCCGGGCTCTAGGCTTGCGGCACTTAGGCTTTGGTGCTGGCGGTTTAGCACGTGTTGAAGTGGTGGCTTAACAAACCGCTGTACACGTGGACGGCCTTTTAGTCCTCGTGGTTAGGGCCATGCAGCGGCCGAGGAAGCTCCTTCATGGCCCCATCAATGGGGACGTATCATCCGTCACTTCGTGATGGTGTATCATCCATCACTTGTGATGGATAGGCGTGTGAGGGCGTTTGATTAAACTGGTTGGGTTGGGTATCGAGTTGAGTATTGTGTGGAACTGCTTGTCTTGAGTGTCGATCGTATGTCCTAAGTTTGGGAACAGGTTCTATAAATGATGGCAGGGGGTGATTGAGGAGTGCTGGTGCCATAAATTAGGTACCTCGCATTTCGAGGTGATCGTTTGAAAGGAGGCTTTGGGTTTCTCACCAGAATTGATGTAGTGCTGTAGTCTGTGCCACCAAGTTCGACTCTGAGTGCCGTGTTTTGGATCGTTTGTAGATCGTTATGGAGATTACAGAATGCATGTCTGGACAGGAATAATGGAATAATTCAGGACCAAGCGTATGTATTGTTTATATACTAGTGGAGGTATTTCTTTGTTCTGTCCGAATGGTGTCCCTGTAGGGGCTCTTGAAGTGTCCAGCCTAAGCTGCATTTGTTGCGTATGTGTGTCCCAAAAGACATTGAAGTGATATAAGTGTCGCCTGAAATCTTAGTTTCGTGTGTGAGTGGAATGGTGTTGTAGTTTTGTGTGACTGTAGTTTGGTGTTGATGCTACTTGTGTGGTTCGTTAGCAGAGTACATGTTCAGTATATTATAGTATAGACATTATTTGTATTACAGAAACACTTCCTAAAAATCACGGGGGGAAAATTGTACCTGTTGAATTTCAGCTGCCAGGTTTTGATTGTTTTCATAACTTAAATGAAGAGCAGTGCAGTAGAGGTGTAGCTCTGTGGGTTAGAACCTCTTATGGGGCCCAGCAAGTTAAGTTATCTGCACAAACTATCGCCAGTCATGAAAAGATCTGGTCAAATGACACGAGTTTAGATTCTATAAACAAGGCACGAAATGGAAAAGAATCGGCGACAGGCCACATCAGGCCTACACTTCAGAGCCGACATCACTATGTTATGTTATGTACTGGGGGCTGCGTTAAGGGGAGCGTCTGGGTAGTGAAAAAACTTTTTTATTTACGGACGGATCACTTCGAAACTTGGTACACCTGTGTAAAACAGAATTCTAAGACTTTTTTGTACGTGTAAATTTTTTGAAAAATACGAAAGAAAACGTGAAATTCTTAGAAAACGGCAAAAAAGAGGTACTGAAGAAAACCTCCGCCTAGGATGTTGAAGCTACAATATCGAGACGCATATCATTCGATACGTAAGGACCATATCTATCGATTCGTCATGGGTTTTTTCGAATTTTTGTGGATGGGGGAGCATTTTCTGCAAAATTTTCGAAAATTTTCCGATTTTCCCTTTTTTTCCAACCCCTTTTTTCAAAATATTTTCAAAACTATAACGAAATTGAAAAAAGTGAATGACCAATCTCTAGATATTTAATTGCGAATCGAATGGTATATAACTCATTGCTGTAGCTTCAAAACTCTAGGAGGAGATAGGTTTGCCGTGACACTAAGTGTGAATGTTCAGGACAGCGCGACTAAGTCCCGGGCGCCTTGAAATCGACATTTAATATGGCAAGGATGCGAGACTTGACGTCACTGGAGCTCAAGTTCTGTCAAGGATGGTGCGAGCGACGGAGCGAAACCCACCCAGTACGACTGCAGCAAGGTTACTGGATCTGTGTGTCTGAAGACTAGCTATTTATAGTGCACTACGTGAATTATTTCCCATGTTAAATGTGAAAGAACTCCCCCAACTCATCTGAGCTATCCCCGCAAGAGGGATAGCTCAGAATGTCAGCTTTAAGATGAGACTAAAAACTGGAAAACACAATACAGTCGATTTTCCAACCAGACGCTCCCCTTAAGTCGGCTGAGTCATAGCCAGCCCTCTAGCTGTGTGATGTAAGGTTGTTCTTGTGTGGAGCATGTGTTTACGCTGATGTGTCTTTGTAATGGTGAAATTATTTACATGGGATGAGGTGTATGTGTTGTCTGGTCACCCAGCATCCCTGTTCTTGGAGTCTGTGCGAGACTCATTTTTAATCCTGAACATCACCAAGCCAACCCATTTTAGGGGTAAACAGACCCCAAATATTCTAGATCTTGTGTTTACTAGTGAAGAATCAATGATAGATGAGCTTCGCCACGAGGCTCCGTTGGGCAAAAGCCACCAGCAATCATTGTTTTTCAATATTAAGTGTTGTGCAGAAAAGACGCTTCGGAAGCGTGAACGTTTGAACTGTGCGAAAGGCGACTATGATACACTCCGTGAAACGGAGAATGCGGCGAATATTTCGGACTATATTAAGGACATGAATGTGGCTGATTCATGGTCGTTTCTCAAAGACACGGTTATGTCTGCAGTTGATGCCTGTGTACCCAAGATTACGCTTGGAGGAGTCAAAAAGTCACAGTGGATGACCAGTGCAGTTAAGACTCAGCTAAAGACCAAGAAAGAAGCCTACAAGCGTTCTTTACGAACTCGCAGTGAGTCTGATTATAACCTGTATGCCAGAGCTCGAAATCAAGCTAAAAAAGTTTGTCGCACTGCAGTGAAAAACTTCAAAAAGAATATTGCTAAAAATGCCAAAAAGAATCCGAAAGCCTTCTTTTTGTACGCTAGTTCGAAGTTTAAGTCAAAGAACGGTATATCTGATTTGAAAGTAGACCAACGAAAGATTTCCTCTGATGAGGGCAAGGCTAACGTTCTTAATCAGTTCTTCAGCAGCGTGTTCACAGATGAGGACTTGAACAGTATTCCAGATATTGAGGAGCGCCCAGTCGGCTCGAAGTTAACATGTTTTGAAATACACGAAGAAGAGGTTCTCAAGCGCCTGGTAGCTCAAAATCCCAACAAGTCATGTGGACCAAACGGCTTCCATCCCAGATTGCTCAAAGAGTTAGCAACCGTTCTGGCCGGCCCATTGACAGCATTCTTTCAAAAAACCTTGAACGAAGGAACTTTGCCGTCCGACTGGAAAGAAGCTCAAGTAACACCATTGTTCAAAAAAGGTGACAAAAGCAGCAACTATCGCCCTGTCAGTCTGACAAGTGTTGTATGTAAGCTGATGGAATCTGTTGTGAGGGATAGGATTATAGATCACCTGACTGCTCACCATCTCATATCAGATTGTCAACATGGTTTTATTGCCGGCAGATCCTGCACCACTAACTTATCTACGTTGAACGATTGGACTCGCCGGCTGGACGAAAGGGAGCCAGTGGATGCATTGTACCTCGATTTTGCCAAAGCATTTGACAGTGTTCCGCATGAGCGGCTGTTGCGTACAGTGAAGTCCTTGGGGATTGAGGGAAACGTACTCCAATGGATCAGAGATTTTCTAGTAGGTAGACGACAACGTGTCAGTATTAACGGAACCGTGTCAGACTGGGCATCGGTGCGCAGTGGCGTGCCACAAGGAAATCCGGTCAAATGACACGAGTTTAGATCTATGAACAAGGCACGAAATGGAAAAGAATCGGCGACAGGCCACATCAGGCCTACACTTCAGAGCCGACATCACTATGTTATGTTAATAATGACAGGAAAATCAGCTGTTGCTTAACAACATGCTTAAAGACATCGTGCGTGATCCGGCTTCGGGTCGGTTAATAGTACCAGCTTTGTGGAAGCATGATGTATCTCATTTGTTGGCTCATAACTATAAGCTTGCTGCATCGATTTTGAAGTCTCAACGTAAGCAGCGTCTTTGCGATGTAAAGTTGCGTCAGTATGATGACGTAATTCGAGAACAAATTTCCAGTGGTGTGATCGAGCAGGTTTCACTGTCCTCAGAAGCCACCGATAAAGATATTTCATTTCTGCCTCACAGTGCTGTTTTTCGCTATAGCAAAGGAAATGTCATCGAGACAAAAAGGAAACCTTGTCGAGAAGAACCATTGGCTGCTGGATCAATCTCAGAATGATGGATCTGGTCAGTTATTCAAGGATGTCGGCGGCCTAAAAAAGGAGTTGAAGATGTTGACTGAAACAATAGTGATGCCTCAATATTCCGATCGCATCCGGGAATTGGAAAAGCAAGAGTGTTCTCTTCTTTGGCCCTAAAGGTACTGGCAAGACGTTCCTAGCCAAAGCGCTTGCAAACGAATGTAGCATTAGATGCAATACAGCGTTCTTTGTGCATCAAGGGATGGACTGCCTCATCGAGGGGGTCCCCAATGCCGCAAAAAAAGCTTCAGCTTCTCTTTGATAAGGCGCGCCAGCAGCAGCTATATGTTATTTTCTTTGATGAAATAGATGGCATTGCGCTCAAAAGAATGCCTGGGACTGATTAAACTAACCCCAGCATGGTGCTAATGCTGCTGGTCCTTATGGATGGCCTGGGCGCGAGCGACGATATTTTA